GTTCTCACCCTTTTTGACCACCTAAAAGCAAGTGCGATAATTAACACATCCTTTTGGTGTCTGCCTCACAACTTGCTCATTGCTTCATTGCTTGTGCTCTTTCTTTCTTCTGCATGCAGTCGTTCTGCATAAAAAGTATTTCTACTCTTCTAAGCTGTAAATTCGAATTTCGAATCTAATTTCCTTTATTTCACATCCCAGATAAGGAACATCTTAACTTTATCCTACAAAATAACCCTTTACAATATCTATTCTAGGAAAGAACTTAGATGAAACATGTCCACAACTATTTTGACGTTACAGGCCATTTTTACAAGGTCATGTTAAGAGTTTTACACATGACTATGAATTAGTAGTTCAGGACGCCACGATGATAGTAAATATGTTTTATATAACTCTCTCTTATTCAGAAAAGATATTACCATATTATTAGAAATATAGCATCATTTTTTTTAGTACATCGATATTTTTACACTAAGGGGATGGAGAGTTCATCAAAGTCACATAATGGGCAGCCTAATTTGGTATCGAATTTGTCATCCATTAGATTCGAATCTAAAACCTCATACTTGCAAGTGAAGATGAATACTACCAGACCGTAGCAATGAGTGGCGAAATATAATTTCATTGAAGTGTCTCATTCATCACGTGCTACAAAGAAAATTCAAAAACAGGTGTCTCTGTTAAATTTTAACAAAGGAGGTATTTTTCAAGATGATATTCATTTTGGCTATGCTAGAAGAAAATGATCATTTAAAAAACAGGGCAGAAGCAAAGCTCAAATGCTAAGGTCACATTAAGCACACCATAAACCATTAGGTTAGTCCGAGGCATCCCCAGTTGGTGGCTGGTGGCAAATTACAAGCATTTCCCAAATTTAATTAACACAGAATTCCTTGTTTCCAAAAAACTAAAAACAAAAACTTTCTTAAAATCAAAATAAAATAAAACCCACATGAATTTTATGTTTAAAATTTGGAATAGAAAATCTTCCAAGATTAATTGAAGTTCATTAAGAAGGCAACCAAGATAATGTTCATAACCATTTTAATTGCCACAGATAAACTATCTTAATTATTTATTAGACAACTTCAAAATGAGAGTTGTTTCTTGCTCAGCAAGCTAACAGAGACGCCCGCAGAGGGTGAGTCCATCTCCGGTGGAAACAACGGCTAGCTCAACTGGGTCATCCGCGGCGAGAAAGCTGTTGAGTTCCAGCAAATGTTTTCTGCCTTGCAAATTCTTGCACATTCTCCTCTCCTCAGGCTCCGCCACTGTCCCAAACCACAACGTGTTATCATAAGCTATGATTCCTCCAACCTTCACAAGCTTCATCAGCTGCTTGTGATATTCCATGTACGAGTCCTTGTCGGCATCCACAAATGCAAAATCAAAGCTCCCTTCTTCCTCCCCCTGCTTAATTGATTGCACGTTTAATTCTCCAAATCAAATAATATAGTATTAACTACCACTACTTATTACTTAAGCTAAGTATCGTGATGATATATTACATCCCAAATTCACCATTATTTAGTATTTACTCAGGATCAACATTATATTATTAAACACTCGTAGAAGAGGTTTAACATGCTAATTTGAGAGTGCGGATAACATTCTCCATAACTGTATAGCTTTCTCTTTGTTTTAAAGACAAATGCTATTCATATTTACCAATTTGTTACTTGAAATCTAGAGACAAACTTAGGTGGGTCAGCCTGACCAGCTTAACGATCATGCACTCTGCAGAAGGAAATAGCTCCACTGTATAGGGGTTCCTTCCAACCACACACAAGTACAATTTCCAATGCACACAGGCCACCCCATCTTATAAATTATAAAGGCCTAATCTACTTTCTCCCAACTTAAAATCACAAACATTAACTTACTTTGGTAATGAGATCATTTAGGACCGTGAAGGCATCTGACTGGCAGAAGTTAATCTTATGTTCCACCCCAACCTTCTGAATAAATGGTAGTCCAACCTCATAGGCTTCTTTATCTACATCGATTGCTGTTATCTGAAATTTGAAATATTAATCTAGCTAGCCACTACACGTAAAAGGATGAAATTAATCTAACTATTTCAAAGAAATTTTTTATAAAAAAAAACACATGAATAATATTAATAAACGAGTATTACATACTTTTCCATCAGCAGGCAGTGCAAGAGCAGTAGTGAGAAGAGAATAACCAGTGAAGACACCGAGCTCCAACGTCTTCTTAGCATTCATCACCTGCAGAAGCATCGATACAAGCAGACCTTCGTCTACAGGCACATTCATAAGACTCCTGCGTGTTCGAAATGTAATCCTTCAGGCTCATGTAATTATATATATATATATATTCATTCATGAAGAAACGTACAAGAGGATTGGGTGCAAAATGTGGCCTCGTTAAAACCTTGGCAGGGATTTAAGCCCAGTACGAAGGAAAAAAGAGTACTACAAATATCAAACCCTACCAGACAGCATATTTCTCGATGGTGGCCTCCCTTAGTTGCTTCAGTTGCTCGTGTTCTCTTGGAAAGCAGCTTGTTTCGAAGATGTACTGTACTATCAGAAATTCAGGACGTTAATTGACTGCGTTGTTTGAGACCATTAATTAACGCAAAATATAATTAGCACCTTCTGTTTCTTTAGTTTATAAATATTTCAACAACAACAAAATGTGGACACGTAAACCTGAATTTCAAGAATTTTTTATACAACCATATATTTACGAATTGATTGCGAATTCTTCATTCCAAACTGTTTTCTTAAAAAAAAATTGCAGAAGATAGACATTTGTGCATCATGCAGCTTCTGAGTTGTAACTGAACGTATAAACAGGGACACCTGTACATCATGCATGATATACTTGTGCATCATGATATATGGCCATCTCATAATTTAAAAATAAAAAGAATCTAATTCCCAAAAAAATTAATAATAAAAAAGTATCTGATTTTTAGCTGAAAAGACTAAAGATTATAAATGTTGATTTTTTTTTATTTCCACAGTACAAGAAATTTTTATTAAAAAAATTAGAACGAAAATGTTGAAAACTCCAATCTGAATCTGAAAGAAAGAAATCTAGAAAACGAGAAAGAACTCATCATTTATATGAAACAGGAGGTCAAGACAGTGGTGTTACAAACTAATCATGATCATCGTGTAAGAAAGTTAAAATGCCTAACAAGTTTGGAAGAACGTCACTATGGCGGTCTAGTTTCATGTGAATCTCTCTTTTATAAAAAACGCATTTGATCTGTAGAAGCGACGAGTCACATTAGGAAAAGAAAACAAGAGTGTACCTTGAGAAGTGCTGGGGTTTTGAGGATTATCTTCTCCGGTCTGTCGTCTGCCATGGCTGAGAAAACAACAAAAGAGCAAATGTTTATTTTCTTCAATTTCTAATTTTCTGTGAAATAAGCAGTTGGGTGCATTGTGTGTTTTATATTGGGAATTTGGGTGTAAAGGGGTAGGTGGCAAAAACATGGCCTAAAAGGAAAGGTCGTGCCAGACTTTTGGACTGGGCTTCACTTTTTATTTGATAGGTGTGGGCAGTGTGGCTGGTTGGGCTGTTTTACATTTTTTGGATCCGTGGATAATTACTTATATGTAACAGGTTCTTTATTGAACAGTGTTTTTGTTTAACGTTTATGATATAATATTAGTCAATAAAAGATCATTATTAAGGAGTGTATTGTATATAACGTTCAATGGATTTTCACAGAGTTATGAACATAAAGATTTTGAGGGAGTTTAGTTGCCTTTAATAAGTTCATGTGGATTTGATTTGAATTTTACGTAGATCTTAACAAAGTTTGTGAGATTTTTATCATGAATTTTGGAGCCTTTATTGTATACAAAATTTGATGGACTTCACAAAGTGTTGTTTGACTCTCAAATTCAAGTGTATACAATATAATATTGTAGTATTCAATTAAGATTTTTGTAAGTCTCACATAAATATAGGTGTATTCAAAATTTCGTTGATTTTAAAGGATTTTATTGACTTTTGAGTGCTTTTATAGTAAATATTTTGTCATTGTGAATCCAATCAGTACCTATAAGATTTTGTTGGATTTTATTTTTTCCACTTCTAATCATATACTCCACCACTCACCATAATTAATACAATGATGATCACTAGCTACCAACACCACCACCTTATCATGACGATCTATGTTACCTCTACTGCCAACAATGTCACCTCATCGCCACTACACCACCACCACTACTATCACCTTGCCATGACCATCACCATGACCCTATCACCCCCACCATAACCTTATCAATACCACCACCACCATCGTACCATAACCTCTTACGATCGCTCGCCGATGTCATCACTACCACGACTGCCATCTCTACTACCACCATCTTATATACCTTACCCATCGTCACCCCCGCCTTTACAACTACCATAACCTTCTACGACTATCTTATGGCCGCCACCCCCACCGTGACCACCAACTTTACCACCATTATCACCACCTCATCAAGGCTATACCCACCCCCACTCCTCCATCACCCCAACACCAGGCTGCAACCACAGTCTCACCACCCTTACTTTTATCTCCTTCACCAACAAGTAGAGGTAGCAAATCAACTCATTGGGTTGTTAATGGGTACCCGTTTAATTTAATATCACCATAATATAGAGGTGATAATGGTAGTGGTGATGAAGGTGTAAGGTGAAATCAAACTAAATGAGTCTTAATGGGTTTTTTGATTTGCCACCTCTACCAACAAGCATTTCCCAAATTTAATTAACACATAATTCCTTGTTTCCAAAAAAAAAATAAAAACAAACTTTTTTCTTAAAATCAAAATAAAATAAAACCCACATTAATTTTATGTTTAAAATTTGGAATAAAAAATCTCCCAAGATTAAATGAAGTTCATTAAGAAGGCAACCAATATGATGTTCATTCATAACCATTTTAATTACCACAGATAAAACTGTCTTAATTATTTATTAGATAGCTTCAAAATGAGAGTTGTTTCTTACTCAGCAAGTTAACAGAGACGCGTGCAGAGGGTGAGTCCATCTCCGATGGAAACAACGGCTGGCTCAACACGGTCATCCGCGGCGAGAAAGCTGTTGAGTTCCAGCAAATGTTTTCTGCCCTTCCTTGCAAATTCTTGCACATTCTCCTCAGGCTCCGCCACTGTCCCAAACCACAATGTGTTATCATAAGCTATGATTCCTCCAACCTTCACAAGCTTCATCAGCTGCTTGTGATATTCCATGTACGAGTCCTTGTCGGCATCCACAAATGCAAAATCAAAGCTCCCTTCTTCCTCCCCCTGCTTAATTAATTGCACGTTTAATAATATATTAACTAATACCACTTATTACTTAAGCTAAGTATCATGATGATATATTACATCCCAAATTCACCATTATTTACTCAGAAGTTTAACATGCTAATTTGAGAGTGCGGATAACATTCTCCATAACAATGTAGCTTTCCCTTTGTTTTAAAGACAAATGCTATTCATATTTGCCAATTTGTTACTCGAAATCTAGAGACAAACATAGGTGGACCAGCTTGACCAGCTTAACGGTCATGCACTGTGCCGAAGGAAATAGCTCCATTCTATATGGGTTCCTTCCAACCACACACAAGTACAATTTCCAATGCACACAGGCCACCCCCGTGTTATAAATTATAATGGCCTAACCCACTTTCTCCCAACTTAAATCACAAACATTAACATACTTCGGTAATGAAATCATTTAGGACAGTGAAGGCATCTGACTGGCACGAGTTAATCTTATGTTCCACCCCAGCCTTCTGAATAAATGGCAGTCCAACCTCATAGGCTTCTTTATCTACATCAATTGCTGTTATCTGAAATTTTGAAATGTTAATCTAGCTACCCACTACACGTAAAAGGATGAAATTAATCTAACTATTGCAAAGAAAATTGAAAAAAAAAACACATGAATAATATTAATGAGTATTACATACTTTGCCATCAGCAGCAGTGCAAAGAGCAGTAGTGAGAAGAGAATAACCAGTGAAGACACCGAGCTCCAACGTCTTCTTCACATTCATCACCTTCAGAGGCATCGATAGAAGCAGACCTTCATCTACAGGCACATTTATAAGACTCCTGCGTGTTCGAAATGTAATCCTTCAGGCTCAAGTAATTATGTTTAAAGTGATGGCAAACGATTAATCCGAATCATATAGAAAATTAAACAAATACATCAACAGATTTGAAGAGGAGAATCGATTGGGAAGCTTACCTGTTCGTTGATTCGAGCTTTCCTGCTCAGCTCAGTGTATGGCAAACGATTTTTGGGGTCGAACTGGCAAAGCAGCGGATTAGAAGTATTTTGTTTGGACCAAGCCTTATCAACTTCTATTTATTATCTAATTAAGGCCCAATTTTTATGATTTTGGACTTGTACAAATTTGAAGCCTACAAATTCAATTGGGCCAAACACTATAAACAAGCGTATGGACCCATTTCAAGTGCTTATCCCAAATTTCGTATTCATGATTTTTTTGAGTGATGAATCAACATACTAATTTGCTCAAAGTGGCAAATCAACATAAGAAATATTATTGCTCACCACTTTATTGATTATTGTTGAATGAGTTTGTTTTAATCTATCTACCACACAAACTTTGAGACTGAACTGCTTCTAACGGTAATTGATAGAGTGATGAATATTAACACCACTTAAGGATGATGAGCGAAAATGCACACAATTTAAAAAAAATTATATATGTCAAAACCGAATTCACAATGATAGGGGACGAAACGAAAGACAGTCATAATTTCACAAGCCCATTTCAATTGTTTATTAAAGGTGTTGATCTCAAACTACTTTTTTACAAGTACAAAGGAGGGAGAATGATTGTCGTATTCTTTCTATCAGTGGTAAAGTGGTCTACCACCACTTAAGCTATCAATCAAACACTCGTAGACCAATAGGATAACACATATGTTGTGTAATACGACTTTTTTTTTTTTGAATACATACAACATTGAAAGGGGGGAGAAATCAAATTCATGATTTCTTAATGTACCACTCTTCGTTAACTGAACTCTAAACTCCATCAGTAAGTTAATTTTTCCACATATTAAGTGATTGACTGGTTATTTTTCCACGTATTCAGTGATTGATAGGTCTTTCATTCAATCAAAACATAACCAAAGTTGAAGTTTTGGTGCTTACCACACACAAACAACTTGATTTTGTTGTATTTGAAAAGTAGTTAGAATGTAGTATTTGTTGGGTTGTGAAATACAGCTGGCCATTCCCAATTCAACTAAGCACTAGAAGAATTTGAGCTGAGCTTCTCAAGTGTATACCCAGAAGTTATCTGCTAGCTGCCTACTGCTATACAATACAAAAGTACTTTTTTTTTTGGCGAACATGAATCAATAACAACCGGGCAAAGATGCCAAAGATACACAGAAGCCTACCCCGAGGCAAAAGCAAGCAACAAACAACTAAGGAAAAGCAGTACAAAGAGGTACAACCGACATCGCACCAAATGCTAAAAATGTCACTCCTCATACTGCTAGGAAGAAATTAATGGGGACAAGGAAGACCATCATTACACAGAACATGAACAAGAGAGGATGGGGGTCTGTTGACCCAAACATTATCACATATCTCCCTACTTTGCCGCAACGCCAGACGATCCGCAGCCATATTTGCCGATCTTGGAGTCCAAGACCAGCGGCAGTCATTAAAAGCCTCCCCCATTCTTTTGCATCGCGCCAGAATTGGAAAAGCTTCCCAACTACCCCTCGTATCCGAGTCTCGAATACAGGATATTGATTCCTGAGAATCTGATTCCACGATGACAAAATTCCATCCCATACTTCTTCCAAGCTCACACCCATGCAGCACTGCCAAAGCTTCTGCCACAGCCACAGACGAGGCCGTGACCCTCCTCCTGATCGCTGCCATAAACCTGCCCTCATCGTCCCGAGCCACCACCCCCACAAAACCAGGAGCTCCACTCCTTAACCAGCTCGCATCCACATTAATTTTTATAAAACCCACACAAGGAGGAGACCACTGCACATCAGAAACCAAACCATTGACAGAAATAGGCAAACTACATACCGTAGCCTGAGTATATTCCTTAAAAGCAGCCACAGATTGGGTGATGACTGCGATGATCTGTCGAGGAACTATAGGTTGTTGATTGAACAGAAAATTGCATCTCGCCTTCCATATAAACCAACAAGTTGTAGCAACATATGAAAGCATATCGTTCCGCACACCCGACTGCCCATTAGCTAAACCAACAATACTGCCCAACCAAATAGCCCAACTTGTGACCGCATCCCTCCGCAATCCTCTAATTAACCTTACCCCAATCCAAACCTCCTCAACCCACGAACATTGGAGAAATAGATGTACCAAAGATTCCTCATACCTATTGCAAATAGGGCAGAGAGTAGACGAAGAGGATCGACGCATAAACAAATTTACGTTCGTGGCCACTGCCTCTTGTAAGGACCTCCACATGAATGATCTGATTTTTGGCTGAACCTCAAGCTTCCAAACACACTTCCAAACCTGTTTTGGGATGAGGGCAGATCGGTGAGGGTTTCCAATTCGTTGCTGGATATTCCTGGTCATAGCCCAATGATATCCTGATTTGACAGAATAGATTCCATTCTTCACAAAAGGCCACACTAATCTGTCATTCGAACTCGGATCACCTGAATGTGTCTCGTAAATCGCCTTGATCTCCTCCTCCACCAGAAAGGGTTTAAGGAAATCAATCTCCCAGCTACCATAATCAGTGCTTAACAAAGAATTCACCCTGAGATTTAAAGAAACAGGAACTGACCCCAGGGGAGATGGATGACCAGAAGGGATAGAAGGCAGCCATTTATCCACCCAGACTCTGACATCCTTTCCATTCATTATCTGCCAGTGAGCGCCACCCCGAATTATTTCTCTACCAACCAGGAGGCTTGACCAAGCCCATGATGCTCTTCCACCCCTCTTCGCGTCGAAGAAAGAGCAGTTGGGGAAGTATCGGCCTTTAATGACCGACGCCCACAAAGAGTTTGGTTCCGATAACAGCCGCCAACACTGTTTCGCCAAAAGAGCGTTGTTGAACTCCGTGAAGCACCTCAAGCCAAGCCCACCTTCTTCTTTCGACTTCCCCATTTGTTCCTTTGAAACCCAGTGAATCCGGTTTTCCCCATCATTCTGCCCCCACCAAAATTTGGATATCAAAGCATCCAGATCATTGCAAAAAGTCTTCGGAAACTTGAAGAGATTCATAGGATAAGCCGGAACTGCTTGCGCCACTGCCTTAATTAAAACTTCCCGCCCCGCTTGTGAGATAGTGGAGCGTTTCCATCCTTGAATTTTGCCTAAAAGCCTTCCTTTTACATACGCAAGGCCACTTCTTTTTGATCTACCCCAGATGGCCGGCACTCCCAGATAAACTCCCGGGTTCCCAACTTTCTCCATCCCAAGAATGGTGGCCAGTTGGAGAGCTAACTGATCCGGCACGTTCCCCCCAAAGAACACACAGGACTTTGATTTATTTACCTGTTGACCCGAGGCCGAGCAATACTCATCAATAACCTGGACTAAATTTCTACAGTTCCTCGCCTTCGCCTTCAGAAAGATCAACGTATCATCCGCAAAGAAAATGTGAGATATCATGGGACCAGCACGATCCATCTGAATCCCCTCAATCCGCCCCCCATCACTCTCCCGCTGAATAAGTAATGATAACACTTCACTGACCAGCAAGAATAAATAAGGGGATAAGGGATCCCCCTGTCTAAGCCCCCTTGAGGGAGTGAATTTGGGACCTGGCTGTCCGTTTAGAAGAATGGAAAAATTCACTGTAGAAATGCATCCCATAATCAGATTCCTCCATCGACTATTAAAACCCATCTTCTCCATAACAGCCATTAAAAAATCCCACTCCACACGATCATACGCCTTATGCATGTCCAATTTAATTCCCAGCTCAAAGTTGCATTTTGTCTTTCTATATTTTAGAAAGTGGAAAAGCTCATGCGCAATACCGATATTATCTTGAATCTGTCTTCCTTCCACAAACGCATTTTGTGTAGTGGAGATCAACACCGGCAGCCATCTTTTTAATCGGTTGGCTAAGACCTTGGAGAGAATCTTGTAGGAGTAGTTACAAAGACTTATGGGTCGAAATTGAGACACAGAATCCGGATTTTGAACCTTTGGAATTAAAGCCAGATGAGTGGCATTTAGGCGCAGAGGCTGCAGAGACCCATTCGTCAAATCAACAATCATATTATTAACATCAGAAGCTATTATGTCCCACTGTGATTGATAGAATATCCCTTGAAATCCGTCAGGACCCGGAGCTTTTAGTCCTCCCATTTTCATGGCAGCAGTTTTAATCTCCTCCACAGAGACCGTAGCCGTTAACGCAACATTCATCTCCTCCGAAACCTTCAAGGTAACGCAGTCGAGCATGTCACCCCACTCCCTATTGCCCGAAGACGTGAATAATTCCACAAAATGATTATCAATTAAGCGCCGAATCTGCCCTGGAGTATCCACCCAGTTCCCCTGCCCATTCTTAAGCGAAATAACTTGATTTCGCCTTCTTCTTTGAATGGTAGATTGATGGAAGAATTTAGTATTCGCATCTCCATCCTTAAGCCATTGCACCCTAGATTTTTGTTGCCAGACGCTCTCCTCCTGTCTCCATAAACGATCAACCTTCTTAGTCAGCTCTTCTATCTCATGGGAGTTGCCTCTCCAATTAAGTTGGAGTTGTCCCAGATGGTCCATCAATTTCTGAATTTGCCTCGATCTCTGACCAAACTTATCCCTACTCCACTTGGAAAGATTAGAGCGAGTCTCATTGATTTTCAGATTCCACCTCTCCACCGAGTTACCCACTCGGACCTTATCCCAAGCATTTTTCACAATTTCTTTGCAATCTGTATCATTTGCCCAGTGAGCTTCAAAGCGGAAAATCCTCTTCCTTTTCCCAATACGTGGTTCGCACTGAACAATCACTGGGCTGTGATCAGAGCCCAATGTCGTACCATTGGTGACCCTGGAATTAGGCCAAAGAGTCTGCCAAGATTCATTCACCAGCCCCCTATCCAACCGAGCCTCAACTAGCTGCCCATTTCTTTTCCCACGCCACGTGAATTTTGGGCCGTTAAAGCCCAAGTCAAACACCTCCAACTTGCTCATGAACTCCTCCAAGTATCTAGTCCGGTTATATCTCACCTCAGCACCGCCCGACTTCTCGTGGTCCCACAAAAATTCATTGAAGTCTCCCCCACAGATCCACGGGATATTGTCAGGAGCAAACTTATGAATCAT